ATGCCGGCTAAGTGATTTGAATGTTACCGTGTACACGACTGTTGAACTTCTCCTCGTGTTAATTGCTGTCATTATGTGCTCGGCTTCAAAGGTCGTGTGGTTACGAACCAGTGAGATAAGAGAACCGGAACTTACAGCTTTCTTAGGTTTTTCGAGTCTCCATGAGTCCTATGATCCGATTCTGATTTGATCGTATGATAATGCAACAAAATATACGTGCCACACAACCTCAAAGATAATCATTTATTTTATTCGCGTTAGCGAATAACGGAATAATGTCAAATACAAGAATGAATTCTGGATACTTATAATTGACACAGTCGTTATCCCAGACAAACAATAAGAGAAACGATGTGAAGAGGAAGATCGAAAAAGGCAAACACGTCGACTCATTGTACTATTCACAATAAGTGGTAATGCAGTTCAAACAAGAAAATTCATGGTGCGGCAAAAATACAGGCATTGGATTAAATAATAAGTGATAGATATACACATAGGACATATGAGAGTGGAAGTATGAGGGCATAAAAATAGATATGTGCGCCTAAGGTCACCATTTTCCATGAAAACAACAAACTTGTCATGAAGGTAGAAATGACTAATTAGTCACATGTTGTCTGAGTTATCAAGGACTTTTCAAAATTTAGTACGAATCATGTGTGTACTAGTACTAGACACTACAAGTCCCTTTACGAATTGTAGTAACTTATGTAACATTTTTTCTTATCAACTTTAACGGATCAACCTATAGTTTGATAAAAAGAAATCAGCAATGTTTCGGTGTTATTACTGGAACCGCGGCTGAATAGCTCATAGATTCGACCAGTTACACAACCACTGAAAATATGAAAGCACCGATAGGTCGTTTCATCATAGAAAGGAACTGAGGAGTGCACATCATTGGCTTTGCGACCAGTAGTCGAACGGAAGACATCCAATCTCGCGTGTGAAAGCCCAATCATTAGGCAGGTCACTGAGTTGTAACCTTGTGGCGAAGAAGTCCAGCTTCACTCCATCCATACCTTATAATATATGAAGCCATTATCCTTACACGATAATTTAGAGCAAACTCCGGTGTTCACTTTGTTCACTCTTTTCATCCGACAAGATAGGATGCACTTCTGTAATGCGTCCACAAAAGACATAGGTAACTTGAATGAAGCAATCAGTGTAAACCTTGCTCTTCTTCACTGAATGAAAGGAAAAATGATAGACAGGAAATCGTTTGCAAATGCTAGATGTTGCAGTTTATTATTCATTGAAAAGGCTGTAAAGCAAATATACAGGATATTATGTGCTCAGCATTCTTAGTAGATTTGTCAATAAAATCCGAGTCCACCATCGAAACGGCTTGAGCTGTATTCAGAAATTTGTGCACATAAGTCACAGAACCGCGAATCCTTTGTCCACACTATTGCGTCCGAGAACTTTCTCATCGTGGTTCGGTAAAGAGGTACGCACTCTCCTCCGTCAGAGAAGAATGTAGGGAAAATTTAGGTCACTGGGAACTGGCAGGAAAAAATCTCAATATCAGGAAGCTCGAAATATTTGTGCCTCGACCCTCCGCAAGTCTAGAAGATATTGCAAAGAAAAGTTTGTTAAGGAATCTAAAGAATACTTTTAACGCTTATACTAGTGCATAGATCTAAGCATTGAGAGAACAGGAAGTATTACAGCATTATCGTGAGAGGCTGTGATGATTAAAAAACTCGATGTCTTTGATTTTTTACATAAGCTGAATGCAAGCAAATCCATGGAGCCAAATCAAATGCAACCTAGGTTACTAAAGTAATCAGTAAAATTTGGTGTGGATCCCTTAATCACTATTTTAAACTGTCTGCAACCTAGAGTCAAATATCAAAAGACCGGAAGAATGCTATGGTAAGTTCTATCTTCAGAACAGGTAAGAGAAATAAACCTGAGAACTTTCGACCAGCAAGACTAACCAGTGTGGTTGTTAAAATTTTAAAAGGTTATTCGGAATGAAATTTCGAAGTATCCCGACAAAAAACGGATTCTTTTTAAGAGGTGGCACGGATTTAGAACAAGCTATTCCTGTCTCACATACTTATCAGTAGCTCACGAATATTGGTGCGCTCTTAAGAGTCAAAAGCTATATATAGTAGTAGCCTATACTGTCTACAACACGGCTTTTGACAAAGTTTGTGGAATTATGGTATACTTCGTTATTATTACTGCTTCAATAATTGACCTAATCCTAAAATTGTAGATTCGTCATCATATAACTACCTTATCCATCAAATCTTACGTGGACGTCACATCGTTGTCTACACTGACTCGTTCTATCGTAAGAATCACCAATATGACGTTACATACTTCTGGAGAACACATTTATACCAGAGATAAAGTAATATATTTAATATGAATAAAATAGTTAATTTACACAAGAATGACCACGCCTGCAATGTTGAGCCACGCCATCCGATTGAAATGAACTGAAACAACGTTACCGTGTTCCTTATAGTTAACCTTCTCTTTTTGTCAATTTTTGAATATAAATCTTTTCAGTAATCACATGCTCGGCTTCAAATATCGTATGGTTACAGTCTAATGCCACTACATGCTCTTCGAAACTGGATATTATATAAATCAAGTAATACCGGATTTGAAGGCAATTTATTAAGGTCGATAAATAACTCCCTAGTTAGGAGTCAACATAGTTGTCTAGCCGGAAATCTGTGCTTAGTGGAGTATTTCAGGGTTGTTCCTCTTAAAGATGCCACAAGCATTCGGAGTATTATCACACCTTAACCAGTACAACTTCTGTAATGGAAATGTGCTAGACTAGTGAAATCCAAAGTCAGAAGCAAAGAGGTTCGAAGATACATTTGATAGGCTATCGATGTGACTGATTTAAACTGGCTAGAGGTTGTAAGAGATGCGAGACGCCGCGTACACACTCGTGATATGGTGTGGATGCGTGACCGGGAACCTTTAAGCAGGTGAGATCATTAAAACTAAACGTCGAAGACTTACAGAGCTATTTATTTTGGGGATTTATTTGCCGTTACACTTCTGTATGTAAATGATCTTTCTAGTCTCCTACCATCATCGGTTTTATTATATACTGATGATATCAAGATATGGAGAGCGATAGAAAGTAAGGTTCGTAGTTTAGAGATTCAAACGGACTCCGGTAAATGGTCAAAAATTTGGCAGTAGCCGATAGATGATTTAGGTGCATTATGGTGTATAAAGGCCACCTAGGTACTGATACACGGAGAACAACACTGAGCTACCTGTTGTCCAGACGTACAGTTACTTAATAGTCATAGTTAGCCAAGACTTAAAATCTACTTCAACATACCGTGCGATAACCACCAAAGGTTTCAGAACCATATGTTCGATACATAGGGCTATCATCTATGTCCATTCTAAAACCTTTTTGACCTTACATATAGTATTCGTGTATACTAAACTTGAGTACTATATACAAGAGGCTAGCCCATGCCTAAAAAAGACGGTCAGTGGCTGCAAAAGATTTCAAGAACCACAGCTAAACGGATTCCTGAGATAGCTAAGCTTCCATATGATGATCGACTGGCCAAACTAAAATTATTTCCATTATCAGATTCAGATTTGTGCAAAAAAGACAGAAGGCCTAGGGCCTATGTTATTCCTTTTCTAGTATGCTTCTGCGAGTGTCCAGTCTTCTCTTGAAAGAGTCAATTGAAGGCGCGGACACCACTGCTTCGAGCAGCAGGTTCCAAGTATTGATGACTTGGTGTGAAAACCTGTATGCCACGGGTATTTTGTTAGTTCTTGGCTTTTCTACTCGCCTGCTATGTCCTCTGAGATGTCCAGATCTAGTGGGAAGAAAAAGAGAATAAGTTAAGTTCAAAATCATTTCTCAGTATTCTGTGCATCAAAATTAGATCTCTCCTTAGTCTGCAATAGGAAAGAGAAAAAAGGTCCAGCTTTTCAAGCCGATCTTTGTATGATAAACCCCGGAGTTCTGGAATTGCACGGGTAGCTACCCTCTGTACTTTTTCTAGGATATCCGAGTCACCTTTTAAACAGGCGCTTGCAGCCTGAATGCAGTCCTCAAGCTTAGTCCTCACTAAGGATGTGTATACTGTGGTGAAAATGGTAGTGTCTAACTTAGTGAAGGTCCCTTTTAAAGCCCAGATGGTTCGAAACCCCTTAGCTGCGACCTCCCGGTAATGGGCCGTCGTCTTAAGATCATGACTTATTGTCACCCCTAGATCCTTATGAGACCGGACTAAGGGTAATGGCACATCCCCTATGCTGTAACTATTAACCTTAGAATTCCCAAAGTGCACGTAGACACACTTTTCCGCGTTGATAGGCATCAGCCACTCTTTAGACCAGTTTATCATATTATTTAAGTCTGCCTGAAGAGCACATGCGTCTTTGTCTTCAGTTATTACTCGCCAGATTTTTACATCGTCAGCGTATAATAACATTGGAGACTGTATTATACCTGGGGGATCATTAACAAACATTAACAAACACTAAGTACTGGTCTACAGATGGAGCACTTGGAATTTATTCTTACTTTTTGTCTACGACCTACTAGGAAATCCTTAATCCATTTTAAAAGAGGTCCGGCAATACCAAGGTTTTTCAACTTCAATAGCAGTCTATTAGGCGACACCTTGTCAAAAGCCTTACTGAAATCTATGTAGACAACATCCACTGAGTTTCGTTGTCTACCATATAGAAGAACCAGAGGCGACTTGATCACAGTTTTTCATTACTTAGTGACAAACTTGCATCTGATAATCCCTCATGTCTTTTGTCTTCCAAAGCAGATAATTTACGAGGACACTCCAAAAATTCACTAGCCTAGAACAGATAACGTGTCAGCTGGCTATCGACTTTCCCATCAAATCATCAACAAATGAAATTAATTACCTCAACACGTGATTGAAGTTCCATAGGTCGACTTTTTCAAAAGAAATTCAGGGACCACCACAGCCTAGCTTCCTGTCCTTAAACTGGAACTGAAGTCCTTTGCTTCAAGCTTAGCGCTACTCCCGGGCGTTTGTCTGGTGACGGTATTCTTTTTCTTGTATTTGTTGTTTAATTCCTGTATTTAATATACTCTTAGGTGTCTTTCTTAATCTCCAGTTTTGAACCATATTATGGAATAAAGATGTGCTAAGGGGAATATAAGGTAGATATTCCTAAGGGACTTACCTTTAACACTTCTATAGAAGTGTTACACTTATAAGTGTAAAGTAGTCCATCTGCGACATGTCGCAGACTACAACTACAACTTGAGAAACTCCTCTCTAGTAGTATCCCGAGTCGAAAAAGATTTAGGAGTTCTGGTGTCCTACGATTTTAAGTCTTACGCTGTGACAAAAATGTCTTTCGAGTAAACCTTGCACTGGTAACATTGAATCGCATTTTTGGCCAGTTTGACGGAAAGACTTTCTACATAATCTTCAGTTTTATTCGTCCCCATTTAGAGTATGGAAACATAGTATTTCCTTCCTCACTCCAAAAGAATAAGAACACTGGAGCGTATCCAACGGCGAGCCACAAAATCATTTCGGGGACTCAAATTCAAACCTTATAAAGAGCGCCCTCAATCACTTAACCTCTACCCATTGGAATATAGACGTCTTAGGGGTGACCTGATGGCTTACATTATCCTTAACACTTCTGGACATCCTCTTAAACACCTACTTAAGCTTGATCCCAATACAAACCTAAGGAGTAACACCCAGAAATTGGAGATACAACATAGCAAAACGGACTGTAAACACAACTTCTACTCCTTAAGAGTTGTCAAATGCTGGAGTTCGCTGCCGACTGAACTAGCCCAAGCGACTTCCCAGTAGTCCTTTAAGAGGAAACTTGGCCTGTTCTTAAGGACTAAGGATAAAATCTTGCTATGAGTTACCAATTTCTTTTTTTCCTAATCTATTATAGTTAATATACCTAGGTCCTGCCTGGAAGTATTTGTGATCCCCTGCTACTAGACACGGAAGCCTGTTAAGCGAAAGCTTCTTCTATTCCATCCTCAACCATTTGAAACTTGCCGAAATTACATATAAATGTCGTCATTTTCCGCTGTGGTTAAAGTGTAGCTTTTCGCTTAAATGCCCTCCTTAAGGAGAAACATCTCGAAGTTAATGCCTTAATGGTTGCCTAAATGTACACCAACCAGTCTATTTTTGCCTACATTTACCATTGTCATTTTGCCTCGCGCTAGAATGTCTTCGACATTTACTTACTGCTGGAAAATTTTCTTAGCGCTTGACCTCATTATGAAGAGTAATTCGTGTTTAAGAAGTAATTTGCAGGTATTCTAATCGTAATCTTAAAAAATATCAGGATTCTGGTGTCTGTTATACTTTGTAAGTGAGAAGTATGATGTTTATTGATGTCTAGAAAATGTGGAACTTAGCTGTGTACATAGAGTTTATTTAATGAGAACGCATACTAAGAATATCTCCTTTTTCAACTAGAGATTAATTTAACGTTTTAAGACCGTCTCATTTTTTCTCAGTACATCACATACATATGAGAATGTTGAAGTATATGTAAACATTTGTTTATTTGAGAAAAGTGATCATATTAAAATCGGAACAATAACGTTAAAATTAAATGTTCCCATCTTTATTGGTAGTCCGCATTTTCGTCTGGTAAATTCTGAAGCAATAACTATCAACTGTTGTGGTGGGGTTGGATTTGGATTTTTATTACAATATGAGGTGTGATGTTCGATAAGAAAACGGGAAAAAAGGATGTTACTTATATCATCATTCTTTCGTTGCCTTTACGTTTGATTTGTCTCTCATATCATGAGAGAAAACTGATATAAATTCTAGTAATTCCTCTTGCTCACACTGACCAATTCGAACTTTGCTGTTAATGCTTCTACTTTTATTAGGTAAACTTGCTGTACCTACCCTAACATTTGGCTACATCCAAATCAGCTGAGTCGTATGGATAATCGAGTTTTCGTTTGAGTGCCGCTCTGCTAATGATCAGTAGAATTATTGTGCTTACCACAGGCTTCTCACTTTAGGGGGTTAAGTAGTTTCATCCTGCGAATTACTTTGTTAAAAGAAGCAACTAAGTGTTTAGTTGGATAGACATAATCTATGAACAGTTGATTTTTCTGCACGTAACACCTGATCAGTACAAGGCTGCACACATTTAGTAATAGATTGGTTTTCATTCATATTGAGTCGATTTACTATCGATATCAACAATGTCAGGACGTATACAGCACGTCTCACTCACTATCCATATGCTTGCCGCGAGGAGTACCTGCTTCTTGACCAAAGCATTAATGGAAACATTTTTTTGTTGTACGTGGGAAGAATATGGAGCTAGGAGATTAGTTTCCGAATCCTAAGGTTCTAATATATAAAAACGAGAATATTACGAAAAGTATGTAATGACGGAATCATTAATTCACCGTCAGCATAGATTACTGATGTGCACTTACATATTATATCACTTACAGAAACCCACACGCACTCAGTAGTTAGTCATGATTAATTTTATTGTCTAAACGTTTTAAGCGGTTGAAGAGGGTCTACAAAATAACTTCTTACCGTTCTACGACTATTGTATGTTTTACTAAGGCCTATAAAGAGGTGGGACTGTTTAAAAAAATGCTTTCATCTGTTGGGATGTACGCGATACAATTACAGGGATCCCGTTGGTTCCATCCTTAAGTTTTATGAGTATTGTTCTCTAAGGATTACTCATCGCATTTTTGTTTATTATCCATGTAAACATTTTCTGATTCGAGACAAGATAATTACCTTTTTGATCAAGTCAAAAGTGTGACTTAGTTTGAAAATATCCATATATTACAAAAACAGGAATTGTGATTTTAAAAACTGTTCCTCACTAAGATATTCCCTACTTTTAGGTCTGGGTCCTTTATATATCTCAATAAAGATGCCAAAGAGTAAGTCCATTGAAGCACGTCCAAGAAAACGTAGACAAAGTCAAAGAATTGAGGAGCTTAGCAATTCAGTTTCTGAGCATCCTAAACGCGAAGTAAATCACATATCACACCTGTCAGATGGCTCACGCCACCCAAAACTCAGAAGCCGTGTTAGCCATGAGCGGTCATTCCTAACAGACTTTCACATTGTAAACAAAGTTCCAAAGTGGCTCATTTTATCTGTCATATATTTGGGGGTCTTGATTTTTTTGATGATGCTTGCCTTTCGTCAAGTAATGGTATGGTATCAGGGAAAACAAGTTATTACTCCACTTCATCTACCTAAAGTAATATCGGATGCTTCATTGCATGAACGATCTCATAGTTTGTTTTGGGGAAGTTATCGTCCCGGAATTTATTTTGGTATGAAACATAGAAGCCCCAAATCTCTTTTGTTTGGAGTTATGTGGACAATCCAAGATCCAGAAAATTTTGTCTACCGCCACTCATGTGATCAATTTGATGGCGTTCTAAGGTAAGATTTTTTTGGTAGGTAGTGTTTATATTTACATGCTTTTGGCTGCATTTATTGTCTACGCTTTTTTAATTCCACTTACTGGATCTTCATATTTCCTGATCATTTAACCTGTTTATGGTATTTCTATAAAAAATCTAGTTTCGTATTTCTGTAAAACACTAGGAAAAGAGTAGGGAATCTGAAATTACCTTCCAACATCCAGATATATGTTTAATATGATTTCAGATGAATGGCAGCCCAACTCATTGCATCATGTCAAAAGTCTGAGAAAGGTGGAATATTTTTCATCACTCCGTCTGGCGCTTAAGAAGCATCCAGTCAACAAATTTCGTTGCGAGTGGTAGATCTCATAAACCACTTTCAAGAAATTCTCAAGCAATAGAGATATGACGTGTATGTTGGTTTTTGAGCCTTGCGTAAGACTGACTGATATTTTCGACCGGTTACCTAACCGTACGTCTTTATTTCATTAACGCCTCATGAAAGGGTAACAAAATGATTTTATCCCTCCTATTTTTATCCAACCTACTTGCACTTCAGCCAACAGAGTACATTGCGTTAATAAGGAATTCGCTAATAATTTTCGACCCAGTTATATCATAGGATTTTTCGGTTTAGCATAAGGCGATACATTTATTGTTGTTTGATTTTTCACTTCATGAGTCGCATTTTTGACACTAATGAAATATGCAAAATGAAACCACCATTCATTCGTCATGTTCTTACTGTAAAATTCATCTGCAACATTTTATATACCTGATGAAGCTTGCTGCTATTATAGATTAAATCGTTAGTGAAAATATCGTAATACTGCATGCACCTCGTTGTGAATAGTGAATATATTTTAACATAGTTTAAAGGAGAAACCTCATACATATGATATGTTGAAGCTGATGAAAATCAAGTGTTTCAGTATCAGAATTTCACCATTAATCTGATCTGAATTTATTGTGCTGTACTAAATTTATTTCAGGATTACTAGTTGTACGTTCAATTACCAATATGCAAGTTAGTTTGGTTGATTATGAACTACACTTGTGTTAGAATATACATTGTTTGGTTTCTCAAGTGCACTTGTGATAAACGAGAACACAAGTAGGGACAACCAAATGTATTTTAATACAAAATTACAGAATATCTTGGTAAAATAGGAAAACCATTCATTTAATACTTCATTTGCAAATTTCCATCATTTGTCTTTTACATTCTGTACGATTCTTCTGATTCACAATTCCTTCCTAATTCTGTCCCTGTTCTCTTCAAGTCAACCTTCATAGCCTCCTGCTGCCAGGTTTTTTACTTATGTCGACAAACATAAATGGCATAGACCATACAGTTATAAATTCATGTTGAATCTAAACATTTGACTGCATAGTTCAAAATCATATTATGAAGTAAAAGATTTTTGAGTCGAACTTTCTCATTTTTGTTGTAAGTGTATAGTTATTCACTCATACTAAGCAAAAATATTTTTTCACAGATTGAAATCATGAGTCACTTGAAGCTAGACCACCATTGAAAACCTGGAAACACTGGACGGCCGTTTCGCCCTAGTATGGGACTCATCAGCAGTGCGCATCCACGACCCCGCACCACCCGGGGCTCGAACCCAGGACCTACTGGCTACGCGCGCGAGCACTTAACCATTAGACCCCTGAGCCGGCATCCAACGGTGTTAATGTCTAACTTCAACCAATCCACGAAGTTGCGCTACCGTACACCATTGTCTTCAGTGAGTTCCTATCTCACAACAGACCTGGTTGAACTCCACTGGTAACGACTTCTCACTAGAACTCCAGAAGTGTCTCCTGAAGTCATTCACTAGTGAGCAGGTGATTATTATTATCAGAATGTGTTTTGTGGAGATTTTAGAAATTTTCACAGATTGAAATCATGAGTCAGTTGAAGCTAGAACACCATTGAAAACCTGGAAACACTGGTCTAGCTTCAACTGACTCATGATTTCAATCTGTGAAAATTTCTAAAATCTCCACAAAACACATTCTGATAAAAATAGTTTTTCTTGTTTGTAAATCCATTGATTTATAATCGAGTTGCATTTAAGCTTAGTAAAAATGTTGTTTAGTAGTTAAGGCGCGGCACATTAGTGACTAATAGATATCATTTTCAACCAATTGTTTACAGGTTCGCGCTTTCTGCCACTCAGATTTAAATAACTGAGTGTCATCACAAGACCTCACAAAATATGGGGCTCAAAACATAGTTCAAAAAATTATTCTTGGTTATTGTATCACATTAAGTAAAATGTATAAAATTTACTGTTTAATACATTTTCCACAACTAAAATGTTGACACTGCCATCTCTTTTGCCACGTTTTTTGTAGCTACAACTGGTTGGAACACGATGGTCGTACTTTTGGAACACAGCAGATAGTGGATATCCATCATATTATCACGATATCTTTTGTAAAACCGTCTTCTGACTACATGGGCGGTGACTGGACAGTAAGAATTTCGGCAGTTGCGCGGAATCGTGTGAGTTTTTAATGTAATAAACTCTTACAAACTCTTCTCTGCGGATTTTTAGTGTCCTTACTTACTTACTTACTTACTTACTTACTTACTTACTTACTTACTTACTTACTTACTTACTTACTTACTTACTTACTTACTTACTTACTTACTTACTTACTTACTTACTTACTTACTTACTTACTTACTTACTTACTTACTTACTTACTTACTTACTTACTTACTTACTTACTTACTTACTTACTTACTTACTTACTTACTTACTTACTTACTTACTTACTTACTTACTTACTTACTTACTTACTTACTTACTTACTTACTTACTTACTTACTTACTTACTTACTTACTTACTTACTTACTTACTTACTTACTTACTTACTTACTTACTTACTTACTTACTTACTTACTTACTTACTTACTTACTTACTTACTTACTTACTTACTTACTTACTTACTTACTTACTTACTTACTTACTTACTTACTTACTTACTTACTTACTTACTTACTTACTTACTTACTTACTTACTTACTTACTTACTTACTTACTTACTTACTTACTTACTTACTTACTTACTTACTTACTTACTTACTTACTTACTTACTTACTTACTTACTTACTTACTTACTTACTTACTTACTTACTTACTTACTTACTTACTTACTTACTTACTTACTTACTTACTTACTTACTTACTTACTTACTTACTTACTTACTTACTTACTTACTTACTTACTTACTTACTTACTTACTTACTTACTTACTTACTTACTTACTTACTTACTTACTTACTTACTTACTTACTTACTTACTTACTTACTTACTTACTTACTTACTTACTTACTTACTTACTTACTTACTTACTTACTTACTTACTTACTTACTTACTTACTTACTTACTTACTTACTTACTTACTTACTTACTTACTTACTTACTTACTTACTTACTTACTTACGCCTGTTACTCCTCGTGAAGGAGCATAGGCCGCTCACCAGCATTTTCCATCCAACCCTGTCCTGGGCAATCCTTTCTAGCTCCGTCCAGTTGTAATTCATCGTTTTCATATCTGCTTCTATTATCCGACGCAATGTGTTCTTTGGCCTTCCTCTTTTTCGCTTCCCTTCAGGATTCCAAGATAACGCTTGCCTCGTGATGCAGTTTGACGATTTGCGTAATGTATGTCCTATCCATTTCCATCGTCTTTTCCTAATTTCTTCTTCAGCTGGAAGTTGGTTTGTTCTCTCCCACAGAAGGCTGATGGTATCCGGCCAATGGATGCTGAGTATCTTGCGTAGACAGCTATTTATAAATACTTGTACTTTCTTGATTGTGGTTGTTGTAGTTCTCCAAGTTTCAGCTCCATACAGTAGAACTGCCTTGACGTTGGTATTGAAGATTCTCACTTTGATATTGGTTGAAAGTTGTTTTGAGTTCCATATGTTCTTTAACTGTAGGAATGCTGTCCTTGCTTTGCCAATCCTTGCCTTTACGTCTGCATCTGAACCTCCTTGTTCATCGATGATGCTTCCCAGGTATGTGAAGGATTCTACATCTTCCAGAGTTTCGCCATCAAGAGTGATTGGATTGTTGTTTTCCGCTTTGAATTTGAGAACTTTGGTTTTCCCTTTGTGTGTGCTGAGGCCTACTGATGCAGAGACTGCTGCTACACTGGCTGTCTTCATCTGCATCTGTTCGTGTGTACGTGATAGGAGGGCTAGGTCATCTGCGAAGTCCAAATCGTCTAATTGATTTCGAGCTGTCCATTGTATTCCGTGTTTTCCTTCAGATGTCGAGGTCTTCATAATCCAGTCGACCACCAGAAGAAAGAGAAAGGGAGAGAGTAAACAGCCTTGTCTGACTCCGGTCCTTACTTGGAATGCATCTGTCAGCTGTCCTTCATGCACGACTTTGCACTGTAGTCCGTCGTATGAGTTCCGGATAATGTTGACAATCTTCTCAGGAACTCCGTAGTGTCGAATAAGTTTCCATAATGTCCTCCTATCTACACTGTCGAATGCCTTTTCATAATCAATGAAGTTGATGTATAGTGATGTGTTCCACTCAACTGATTGTTCGACGATGATCCGTAGTGTTGCGATTTGGTCTGTGCATGATCGATCCTTACGGAATCCAGCTTGTTGATCTCGAAGTTGGGCGTCTACTGCATCTTTCATCCGGTTCAGCAACACTCTGTTGAAGACCTTCCCTGGTATTGACAGCAGTGTAATGCCTCTATAGTTTTCACATTTGCTCAGATTTCCTTTCTTTGGAATCTTGACGAGGTGCCCTTCTTTCCAGTCTATCGGCACTTGTTCCTCCTCCCAAATCTTTTTGAATAGAAGGTAAAGCATATTTGTAGTTGCTTTGATGTCTGACTTCAGTGCTTCAGCTAGTATGTTGTCCGGACCCGCTGATTTCCCGTTCTTGATTTGCCTGACGGCCATTCTGATTTCTTCCTTCGTTGGTGGGTTGACGTCTATGGGAAGATCTGTGTGTGCCGCTTCGATGTCCGGTGTATTCATTGGAGCCGGCCTATTTAGGAGTTCCTCGAAGTATTCTACCCATCTGTTCCGCTGTTGTTGAATTTCGGTGATTGGCTTGCCTTCTTTGTCTTTGACCGGTCTCTCTGGTTTACTGTATTTCCCTGCTAGTTTCTTCGTTGTATCGTGAAGCTGTTTCATATTTCCTTCTCTAGCAGCTTTTTCTGCCGTCGTTGCTAGTTCTTCCACGTATTTCTTCTTGTCGGCTCTAATGCTCCTCTTCACTTGTTTGTTTGCTTCTATGTATTCAGCTTGTGCTTGGACTTTCTCTGCTCGTGTTCGGCTGTTGTTTATTGCTGCCTTCTTGTTCTTCCTTTCTTTGGTCTTGTCCAGTGTTTCTGTAGAGATCCATTCCTTATGATGGTGTTTCTTTAGACCCAGAACCTCTTGACACGTTGAAGTTAATGCTTCCTTGATGTCTTTCCAGTTGTCCTCCATACTAGTTTCTTCTTCTTTCAGTAGATCTTGTAAGGCTTGGAACCTGTTGTTGAGAGCTATCTTAAATTCATTGAGTTTGTCAGTATCTCGAAGGAAGGCTGTATTGAACCTTTGTAGTGCTGTTTGTCCACTTGTCCAGTTCCTTTTTAACTACAGTTTTAAATTGGCCACAACTAGGTGGTGATCTGAAGCTACGTCAGCGCCTCTCCTGGTTCTCACATCTTCCATTGTCCTTCGGAATTTTTTGTTGATGCAAATATGATCTATTTGGTTCTCTGTAGTGTGGTCCGGTGAGATCCATGAAGCCTTGTGTATACGCTTGTGTGAAAATATTGTGCCTCCTATGACCAATTTGTTGAATGCACATAGATTTGCAAATCTCTCTCCATTTTCGTTTCTTTCTCCCAGTCCATGTCCCATAATATCTTCATATCCAGTGTTGTCTATTCCGACTTTGGCATTTAGATCTCCCATCAGAATAGTTAGGTCCTTTCTTGGGCATTTCTCAATGACTGACTGCAGCCGCTCGTAGAACTGATCTTTAATGTCGTCGTTGCTATCATTTGTGGGTGCATAACATTGGATAATATTCATTAAGATCCCCTCCTTCTTTGTTTTGAATGATGCTTTGATGATTCTGGATCCGTGAGATTCCCATCCTACAAGTGCATTTCGTGCTACTTTGGACAGCATAAGAGCGACTCCCTGAGTGTGTGGAGCATTGTCCTCTTCGTGACCGGAGTATAGCAGCATCTCTCCAGTAGCTAGCCTTTTCTGTCCAGCTTGAGTCCAGTGGCTTTCGCTGATTCCCAGTACTGCTAAGTTGTATCTCCTCATTTCCATTGTTATTTGACTCGTCTTCCCGGTTTCCCACATTGTTCGAACGTTCCATGTACCTATAAAATTTTTTGCTCTGGTTGTTAGAAGGGGTATCGGCCTCGTGGCTTCCGAAGGAACTCGGCTTTCACCATGAAGCGTCATAATTCTTCTAAATGAAGACCTTCTAACTCCCAAGGCAGAGTTTAAATGGTTTGGATTATTTTTTCTGGTAAGCGTTTTTTTAGCGAGTTAGTTTTCTACGGAATAAGGACGCTGACCCCATGCCCAACCCTCCTCCTTTACCCGGGCTTGGGACCGGCAGTAACCCTATAAGAGCTACAGGCGGAGTTATTTTTAGTGTCCACGTCTGATAAAATCCGTTTTCACCATTTAGTTAGTGGATTTGCCTAACAGACCTTATACAGATTGATTAAAAAAGTTCTTTGTACAAAAGGTTGCGTAAATGTATTGGATTCACTGATGTTCTATTCTATTGAACTTTATGTGCTATAAATAAAGTTACCGGATCTTAATCGTCGACATTAAACTTAAGTTATTCAATAAAGTGTTTTTGCTACTTTATTTGCTAGACTTCTGTGGAATATCCATTGTCGGTAATTGTCTACTTCTATTATCCTGGTGATAAAAATGACTTCTTCATCGAACCAGTCATTTCGAATAAGAAAATTACTGGATTGCAAGGTTAGTTTACTTATTATTCCTTTTAAAATTATGTGAACCTGAGGTCCTCTTAAGTGAGAGTACTTTCCCGAAATTTAACACTGATCACAAATTTTTAATAATAAAATATTTGGGATACTACAAACAGTCTCCATGATACAGATCGTGTTACGTAAGGTGATGAACAAAGATCAATAGCACAGACCATAAACACTTTGAGATATAATTGCCACAATTCGACCATAAGCTATTGTTTTGGGACTGGTCTGTGCTACTGTTTAGTGTGACGGTGTAAAGTAGTTTAGATCTGTCAAACATCTCACTTATCTTTACAGGTGTATTAGTTCTTGGTGATTGGTTACCCAAGAAACATCTGTGGAGACGGAAGTACTATGTCGGTTTAAACTACCTATGGAGATAATCAGATATTTATTCAGGCTTTTTGCTATGACGTCATAGACTCTGTCTTTCACTTTATGGCTGTAAAGTGTAATCACCTAAGCACGTGCCAAGTTTTTAAATATTTGACTTCAGGTGACGTCAAAGCCTTCTTTGCTACCTGAAAGATAGACAGACATGTTACTGGCATGCAGTGATTATCTATCTCAACATATGCAGGCCATGATCAGGTAGATCAAGAGATGGTTTTAAGTCGAAGTGTGGTAGTCGTTCTGAGATATGTACGTTGGTATTAGATTAATAACTTGTATTTTTACGATTACTGGTATGATGCTGGTCGACAACGGCGCAAGACGTTTGTCGTGGTAAGGTATCACTCCATGAAATCGAACCCATTGACCTGTTAGACTCACTAACAATTCTTAAATGAGTAGACAATTCGTTACACATCACATTATGTTGCTATCGTTTTTAAAATAAAACTTCTGTTCCCACACAAAAAAATATCTGTTCAAAATAATGCGACTAAATCTATACTGTAATAAATAAGTAAACACTTGTAAGATCTATGGTCACTAGACATTTTACTAGTTTTTACCACATTTCTTGAGATTAATCGTCTTGTCGTTGTAGTAGCGCAGTATCTTAGTGATTAAGACACTCGTCTTTCAACCACCAGGTCGTAGGCTTGAACCTCGCTTCATATACTTCGGTCTAATCACCCTAACTGTAATCATCCCAAGTACTCAAAAAACAAAATACTATTACTGTTGGTTGTAGCACCACTGTCTAGTTTAAACATAGTTTTAAATTATGCATAATCAACATATTACTGCTATGTAAATACGATGTTTTGAATCTAGTAGGTGTATTCAATCCTTGATTTTTATTTTTAAAATTTAGGTAGTTCAATGGAGTTGAGTGATTTTCATGTTTTGTTTCATCCTACTCCTCATAAATTACAAGAGAGTTCTCTCGTAGCTTATATACCTAGAGAAGATACAATTAAAGAGACAATGTTATCTGGTTTAGGAGTTAGAAGAGATAAGAATTTCTTGGCATTAACAGGTGTCACAAAGAATCATGATAAAAATCAACCTCCAAATGCATGGTTTTATGAAATAAGTACAAGACCCAATGAAAATAATCAACCAATTCTGGATGTCGAATTCTTTCGATCAAAAAGTTCATTTGAAGGTTTTCATGGGAACAGTTTTTCTGAAGAGTTATCTAAACAGTCTATAAGTTTCCATAAACAATTTGTTGAAAGATTCAGTGTGGATTTAACGAAGTTTTCTAATAGACAGGTTTGTAGTTTTGAGCAAGTTGATCACATCATTTTCTAAACTTATTTTTCCATTTTATGCTTTATTGATCTATTTTGATTAAAATCCATAAAAGTTCTAAGATTAATAAACAAAGGCAGTTTGAAGAAATCGTAGTTTATGCCTAATGCTCAACAGTTACAACCAATCTTTGTAGTAATAAATTTATAAGGTCAGGTTTGAATTTTTTGTTCGCTGGAATTTGTGATTATTTACACCGTAAAATTAACTAGAAGTGATTTGAAAGGATGTCTATAATTGGTAGTCATAACGTTTAAGTATTCAGTAACCTGATTATGTTTATGTCTATACATCTTGATCCTGTATGATTTATATCCGTTGAACAATATGGATTATGTTTCCAAACGAAAGGTGTTGTGTTTCACGGTACTGAAATTGTAGTGAACGAGAACACCAGTGGGGACAGCCGAATGTATTTGAATACAAAATTACAGAAGGTCTTATTAAAATCTGAGATCCATACAGTAAATGCTTCATTTGTAAAATGTCAATCAGTCGTCTCGAACTTCATTGCTCCTTCTTTTCCACACCAATTCTCTGTTCTCGTTCTCTTTTCTTCGATCTCAACCTGCCGCCAGGCATTTCACTTTCGATTGATGGTACATACTACTTATATCTGTTGATATCAGTAGCACCACAAAATTATTAATCGGAAACATGAAACACGAAACTTATAGCGGTTAGTTATAAAAGTGAAGTATGAATACCAAAAGGATCTCTCAAATGTGGACGGGTTTCTACTTAATTGTTGATTATTTCACTGTCGGTGTAATAATTATTTTTCAATTGTTTGTACAGGAGAAAATTACCTTCCTTGTGACTTTTCATTGGGATACTTAGAACATTGGAAGCATGCTCACTCCTCTCGAGAGTGACAATTTTCTTTTTCATTTTATGCTTATTTCATAATTCTTTCATTACAGCTGTAGAAACGATCAAGATTAGGCTAGTGGTATATTAATCCTATGGAAGAAATCTTATTCGTAAAGCGAATAGGGCAAGCTAATTAAATTAGTGCACTAAATTATTTACTTCATATTGTTCAATAAATGGGCCAGTGTAAGCACTGGTTTGGGCGTCTGCACACTTACTGTGAATGATAAACTCATTGATTAGCCGATACTTTAGTGGCTTTATCTTAACGCCGTTCATTGTGTGCTGCATAAAATTGTTATTTTCCTAACTCTTATCATGAGATTTTTCATTATAATCATTCTTTACTACTATATATATATATATATATATATATATATATATATATATATATATATATATATATATCGGGATAATCGTTTTGTGTTTCTACCTCTAAATATGATTAGGTCAACTTATCTAAAATTTCAGTCAGCAATTTACTGGGTGGTATTGGTTTCTTTTACGGCACATCGTTAGTTCGTTCAGCTAATATTGGACCGGAACCAGTATCTAATTGGGCTTCTAGTTTATTTACTGCCACTCCATCTCGCCCCAACTTTCCGCGTGGATTTTTATGGGATGAGGGATTTCATGGTTTGATATTGGCCCGATGGGATCCAAATCTTGCAATGGAAACAGTCGGTTCATGGCTTGATCTTATGAATGCTAATGGTTGGATTCCACGTGAACAGATTTTAGGTTGGGAGGCCAGGTCAAAGGTTCCATCCGAATTTGTTGTTCAGTCCTCTGATGTTGCCAATCCACCATCTTTGATTTTAACTGTTGAAGTATGTTGTCAAGTTTTTAAACGTTTTAGTAGATTCATGAACATACTTCCATTTGTATCACGGTTTATTCTATTACGCTTAATTTGTATTAATAATAGTTGAAGCGAATATGCAGTTGTGTCATAGTGTAATAAAGTTTCGTTGTGAAGCGTTAAATTCACTGTGGTTATAGATAATATGTAATTATAAAGTGAATGTTGTATGATGGATTGTTCAAGCTCTTAATTTTATATGATAAGTTATTTCTTACCAATGGCTATACAAGAGTGTAATGATCATAGTTCATGTGAGAACCTAGAGTTCTACTCTGTTATGTTCATTTCTAATGCTACAGCTATCTGAAAAGTACTTGGTAGGAAGTCTTATAATAAACATGGTTGTAAGCTCACTCAATCACTTGAAATATAGTTCTTCCCACTGTAATTGTGCTTATTAGATATATTCCTTTGGAAACGTCTTTTTTCACGGAGTCTTCAGTGAGTGTTTTGTGGTGCCAGCTGATCTGACTCCAGTTTGGATGAACGTATGAATATGCTATGAACATAAATCGTTCATTTAACTCAGTATATTACCTAGGCTAACCCCGTTTGTATGACGGCTGTAATAGGAAACCAAATACAAGTGGAGTTGGAGGAATTCAGACATCCAGACACAGATTCAGAATAAGAGGCAGCAAAACGAAGAGGAATGAGCGAGACGAAAGGGATCGGATAAGGCATGTGAGCCAACTCGGTTTAACCAAGCGTGAATCGATATTTATAGTCGAACAAAAGTAAATTACAGACAAATCTTGAATAGTGTCAGTAATTAACACATACGCTCATATATATTATTTTTATTTACATACGCTAATATAAAAGCAGTCAAGGTTAATAAACGAATAATTAATAAGGTTAAAATGTGAATCAAGAAGAATGAATAAATTGGTCTGTCTGGAAGCTAGAATAACCCATATGGGCTTGAAATGTGCTGTGTCTGAAGAGATTCCGAGTTCACCTAACCTGAGAACGGAACGAAGACTCTGTGACAATCACAGATAAGATCGCTATTCCGATGTGTCCCAGCCCCGCTAACTAGAGAGAGAATTCCGAGTTCGGAGAAGGGAAATATTATTCCACAAGCAGCCAGAAGCACGAGCGACAACAAGTACAAATCAAGCGTACATATACAGCACAAAAAATGTCATTGCGAAGCGTTGCAAAGTAACATACTAAAAGATACAGCGAACCAATAACGTTTAAGATCCTCCCAAGTGGGAAATACACGAAGGTAAAAATGAGCGCTTTTAGCGCGGAAGCAAGAAATTTAGATTTTTAAAACAGAATTACAAAAATAAAGTATTGATAAAGTAAGTTTTGGGGATCTAACATCCCCAACAAAATGATACTAGACACTACAAGTGTACTGATATCGAACCTAAGGTAGCGAACTCCACATAGGCAATTAATCTCGTATTTGGGCAATTGTTTGGATGAACGGGAAACATAGTTCTTTACGCTTAGATAGAATCCATTTTCTGACAAAGCTTACTGGTACAGTGGTTGATAATGTAGTCAACATTCATCAGGTAAATCTCACCCCTTGCTTAGCTATTCGTAATTTGAAGGTATTTCATAACTGTTTTACGCCTTCAGTATACCAGTTCTAATCTATTGATCATAATAATGATGTCGTCTGACCAGCAATTTAAATTTTTATTCAGTCTTGTTTGAGGAGGTTGGTGGAGTTTAAATAGTCGGAATATATTTTCTAGCTTTAATTCTGTAATTTCGGTTAACGGGTGTACGTTTTATAGTCTTTATTATTTGGTATAACATTCAAAAAGCGACATTTTGGGGTAGTTTATGTTGAATATGCTTCTAGTCAGTTGGTCAAGACTTCCTAAACAATTTTCTGAATATTTTATTTATTTCTTTTCGTAATTTTGTGTATTTCTCATTGATTTGTTATCAGTCATGAGCATAATTACTAACATTTTTTTTACAGCAATAGTTCTTAGTATCGTGATAATCGTTGTATGTACTATTTATTATTGGTATGTTTCTAGTTTCTTTGTTATTGAAATTCTTTCAACATTATGTATTATTTTGTACTATTCATGCAGGCTTTGTTAGATCGTTTGCCTCGACTAACTGTTGCTGAAGCTAATGAATTTCGTCGTTGGTCTATGTTAATTCTTCCAAGGCTACATGTTTGGTATCAATGGTTCAATACTACTCAGATTGGTCCTGTCCCTCTGTCATATCGCTGGCGCGGTCGCAATCCAAATGAAATTCATCAGCTGAATCCTCTTACATTGAGTTCTGGTAAATGCTTGAGAGTATCACTTTAATCCTTTTTTAGTTAATAGTTAATATTTCTATAGGAATTTTGCAAATGACCATTATCTGTTATTTTTATTTCACTCTAATTCATTGAACATAGTAATCATTGTGACACACTTGAGGGTACATTTACTCTTTGTAAACGGGATTCTGATGTCTAATGGAATTATTGTTGCATGTAATTCATATAAACATCATGGAAAACATGTAGTTCCATTTATATTATTAAGGAAATCACTTTATAATATATACATCTCTTAAAATATTTTATTCAACGGAGTAATTATTTTCAACTAGTTCATTTTCAAAATGGTACAATAATATATATATAACTGTGTGTTTGTTAAAGTTTTATTAGTTGTTACGTGAATTTCGACTGGATATTCATCTCTGCCTACCTAGTGTACTTGTACTGAGTTTATAGATAAAAAATGGATACAAATTTTATGGCCTAATACGAAATAATTAGGATACTACCAACTTTATGTTTCTTATAATAGTCTAGATCAAATATATTCATTTTTTGCAAACACTTGTAGTATGCCCAGACTTGACAATATTTTTTATCATTTAATAGCATTATTGAGATTTATATATACCAATTACAAGTACTCAACTTTGAACCTCATCGTTTGTATGAGGTGTTTATTGACTATCACGCGAATGCTTAAACCGTATAAATTATATTTAATAATTGAGAACTATTGGTTGGAAATGCAGTTATCTAGCCATTGAACCCACTGCGCTGCGAGTGTATTACTCAAAACATTTTGTGTGATAATGTATCCATTTTCACCAACTGTTATAAACGTTTTATGATTGTTTTGTTCTGTCTTATATATATATATATTATATATATATATATATATATCATGTTTTGTTTTCTGTCTCAAGGATTAGATGATTTCCCTCGTGCCTCTCATCCAACTGATGATGAACGTCACATTGATTTACGTTGTTGGATGACTTTGTTTGCTCGTGTAATGGCAAGATTGGCTTCTGTTGTTACACAATTTATGCAGGCAGATCAAAATGCAAATGGTCGATCAAAGCTAGAGGAGACTCGTTCATTGATTGCTGAATATACTCGTTGGGCTGATCTATTATCAGATGAGAGTGAACTGGATAGACTTCATTGGTCAGAAAAACAGGGCCGCTATGCTGATTACGGTCTGCACACAGACTTTGTTAGACTAGAGATGCCTGATATACCTAAGGGATCACATGTTTCTAATGAGGTAGTGATTTCATGCGTTGATATTTCCTTCTCATTTATATTTAAAATATTCTGTGCTTATTTTAAGGTGCTTTTTATTGTTTTCATAATTCTTATCATAATTTTTGGATATCTTGAAAGAAGATATGGATTATATATTTTTTGGGCTTGCTTGAAAGAATTTGATTTACTATTTAAATAGCGATTGGAATATTACTCTGCACTCTGTAATTAAAAGTTTGGCTCCAACAATTTAATTACTGAACTACTAGATGAAATCCAACATTATCTACCGAAGTTTTAACTTCGAACGATAAGTGTAGCTCTTATCCTAGTACAAAAAACATGTTCAAAGTTAATTGAACTATTTTGGTTTGGGTAGTTAAGGGATTCTATTGTTTTTTTCAATTCACTAATGTTTAATTTTATATGGCGATATTTATAGTTAGTATTACTGTCAGGTACGGAGACTCACTTATGATAAATCAATGAGATCTGGTGCTGTAATGTCGTGAGCTCATATTATTATTATATGATTACTTCAACGGGAAGGAAGTCACTCAATGAAAATAACTATTGTGATTAAAGCATTCGATATTATATATTTTGTAATTATTTCTTTAATTTCACATTGGCTTTTTACCATAGCAGATGAGATTGGTACGAGTAACTGTGAAAACACCATCACTGCAGTTAGTGGACACCTCGTTTGGATATGTAAATTTATTCCCATTTCTTTTGAAAGTTCTTTCTCCTACATCACCACGAATTCCTCGTTTGTTAGCTGACCTAAATAATAAGGAATTGCTGTGGTCTGAGTTCGGCTTGCGTTCAATCAATCTTAAGTCTCCTTTTTATCATACACACAATACCAAAGATGACCCACCCTACTGGCGAGGTGCTATATGGATAAATATAAATTATTTGGCCGTACAGGCACTACGTTATTATTCTCACCATTCACGTACACCTGTACCTGTCGCTGCAGAAGCTAAACGGTTGGCTGAACAACTGACGCAAAATTTAGCACGTACCGTATTAGGTGGACTTGAACGAACAGGTCATTTATGGGAACAGTATAACGATCAGACTGGAAATGGTCAACGTGGTCATCCGTTTTCAGGATGGACAAGTTTAATTAGTTTAATAATTAGTGATAGTTCTTAACTTGCTTGTACATTGTTTTTATCATTTATATGCCGTGACTTTATGTTGTATATCCTTTCCTTTTTTACGTATTTTGTCTTTATGTTGTTATATTTTTGACCTGATGAATAAATTTTGGTGGAATAATAAGAAGTATCTGAATGGATGCTAAGTGATTCTTCAAGTAGAATAATTATTTTCGTCTTGGAGTCTGTATTAAGGCTTGAAACGTACGGTGTTAATAAACCAAAAATTCATGAGAAGACTGTTATGAACCGGCTTCAAGCAATTATCTTTTGGGCTCTGGGGTTATTCTTCCAGGTCATCAGGAGCACTTCTACTCGTAAAAGGTGATAGTAACCCCTAAGGAGAGAGGGTATGTCTAATTAAAAGACACAGGCGAATCTTTTGATATTTCAACCCAGAGAACAGATAATGGTTACTGTTTGTTCTGATAATGTTCAGACCACTGTTCATTCATAGCACGTATCAACATTGATTATAAGAAGAGACTTACATAACCTAGCGGCCCTCAACCTCAACACGACTATGGATAGAAATAAGGTTATATAACCATCAGTAATTGTCGTTGTTATGATATCCAAACACCTGTAAGCACTAAAATGATATCTGTCATCAACTTGAGTCAAAAGGTTAGGAAGGACCATTAAATTCCTGAAGTTCTTATCAAATTCTTAACTGCTTTAAAATTCATCCTGTTATTCCTTGGAAAAAGACAGATTGACAACAATTCAAACAGGCTAATAAAAACATTATGAAATGATCATGGTCAATGGTGGACAATAAAAGCAAAATAGACGGGAAAGAAAGGCAATAGGCATCACTAGATATCTGTCCCTACACGTCACAGATAGATGGATTAGAAAGCCGGTTGTCAGCTGATGTATTTCTGAAAAAAATGGAAATATTATTTATTAGGTTTAGGAGATTAAACAAATAGACAGCATAGTGGGCAACAATTCAGCTGACCTTCAGTAACTCAACTCTTCCCAACAACCTGATTAAGAAATCGCTACAATTTTTCCAACTCTTTTAAGGATGTATATGGTCATATCTATTTTGAAGCAAGGGAAATCAGCAGGGCCTGATAGATTAACTTGAAAGTTATTTAGTCATGGTGGTCCAGTATTAGCTGCTAGAGTTTATGATCTTGGGGTAGTCCCGTCTGACCGGCCATGTTCACTAACTGTCAGTTTAGAAATGACAAATCTTTCTGCAAAGGAATTACTTTGTTTTGTATAGTCCCAACATGTCAACCTCAATTATCGCTCTATCATTGTTTAGATCTCGAAAATAACAAACTAGGAAAATCTAGATTGAATTCAAACTGGAATCCGGATGCATCAATCAAATATTCATACTTCCAGGTCCCAGCATACCCAAGTCACGTTCACCTGTAGTTATGTATCCTAACTTAAGGTTTTTTACTAAGAACATTTTGGTTAAATCAGCGCTTAAGGCGAACTGTAATCTAGATTGACAATCTCAGTTTGTCTCCTTTAATGCTGTATATACTATTACTCTTCGTATCTTATTTCGTTATAGATTACCTCTCGCCCCAGAAATCATAAATTCCAGAGGTCGGTATTTTATCAGGTTCACTTAATGACAGTCCTATTTGTGGAAGATACACTATCCAATCTTTTGAACTTGAGTGACAGTAGAATCATATTTAGTATTTGTTTCCATCCAAAAGCAGAATGCTGCTTCAGTACTGGTCTGGGTCAGTTCTTACACTAATGATAGAGTGAAGCGGCTGGGCGCACACCAGTTCGATTCAGTCTCATTAACCATCGTTTGTTGGTGGCTGACACGGATTTTTATATCTCGGTTTCTGTCAGTGTGCTCACTCGTGCCGTAGAAAAGATACCTGTCTTCCAATAAAGAGTACATTATACATCAACGTGCTCTATATCACTGTATGATTGTGAAACATGGCCTACGAAAGTAGACGATACTCTTGGGTTATTGGTATTTGACTGTAGATATCTTTGAAGTATTACTCAGATGTGACAAGTTCACTAAGTAAGCTATGATGATATTTGACATGAAGTAATTATTCATCGATTAAGGTAACTTGGACATGTATTACTTATGCACAATCAACACATCCCTCGATGCGCATTGCTGGGTAATGTGGGAATAGGTAGGGGTATAAATTCATGATTATCTGGAAAATACAAACTAATTTGTTGAGACCCACAAGACAGTCCTAGTTATTGGTCGGGCGTGGGTGATGACTCAGTCCGTTGTATTAGTTCAAATACATTCTCTAGATCTTAAGTCTCAATATAATTTCTTTTTAGACTATATTCTTCACTGTCTGATTTATGCGATTATCATCATTTATACTACTAGCTCTACTCCCATGCCGTTCATTCTAATGATTCCATCTCGTGTTCATTCGGTATAGCGTTTTAAGCTAACAGATATTTTCAGTATAGGGTTGTGGATATTGTTAAGTTTTGATTGGGATCATGAATGGATCGATTTTAGACCGTCATTAAAAACCTGGGAGGATTGGATGAACGTTTCATCCTAGTATGAGATTCCTAAGCAGTGCGCATCCACACCGTTGGATACTGATTCAGTAGTCTGGAAATTAGGCGTTCGTGCGCGAGACCGAAGGCCCTGCGTTCGTGTCCTGAGTGCACACTGCTGATAGGTCCTATACTAGGACGGTACGGCTGTCCAGTGCTTCTAGGCTTTCAATGGTGGTCTAACATTAATCTAATCATGATCTCAATCATAACAGACATTTGTGGCAAGCCGTATGTTAACAAGGACTGATTGACTTTGAAATGTAAAACTAATGTGTAGTTTGACAGAACATGATATTGTTTAATGCCTTCGAATGTATGTTTACTGTGGTCGTTTAGTTGACTGATAAAAAGACAAGGACTAGTGCGTCAAACGTGCGGTTCGTTAGCCGAATGAGGCCTTAAAGTTAACATCGAGATGACTGCTGATCATGACAATACATTAGACTATAGCAGCTCACGTGCAATTGAGTTTGTTCACGTTTAATTTGGTTAAGCCATTTTGTTAGCTGATCTAACGGATACAGTCATTCGTAAAGTAACAACTTATCTATACTATTGGATCTTTACCATTGTTGCACTTGTATAAATATGTGTGCTTGAGCATTGCTTACTGCATACTCATATATTCATCCTGCTAGCCTTACTATCAATCAATTTGATTCGATTATTCATTCATTTCACTATGTACATTTTAATCCTGTTCATTCGACTCGCTTGCTTTTCGGCACTACTCTTCCATGCTTGCTTAGCGTACCTGTAATTTTGGTGATCTGTGCGTGGTGTAATAATAAACTTAATCAACACTTCTTATTCGCCTTCTGATTAATACACCGTTGGAGGATGATCCAGTAACGGTTATCAGGACGAACTGTTTACGAAGTTTGAGGATTATTTTGAATACCAACTACCATAAGATAACGAAAATGCAAGTAAGTCCGAAACTGCTTTAAGAAATCTGCTCGAGCTATACAAGATGACTACAATGATCTTTTGCTGGTGTCGGGAAAGTTGTTGAAATGGGTGAAGTTGTTACATCTAGATAAAAGTATAACGAAAGAAGAGAGGGGTAAGTTTTGTGAGTGCATCGTTTATGTTTCTAGCTGCACTTACAAAGCTATGTATAGATTCCCAAGCAAGGATGCTATGCGGTCATATGGATGAACACTTTTATTATGTTTTTCAACTTCAAGCCAAATGAACTAATAGACAAACTAAGAAATTTGATTGATCATTTAGAAACAATATAAACTTTCTCAACGCTCTCACTTGTATTATAAACCACCCATTCACTTATTTGCATACCAGTGAGTTCGTGCAATCCCATAAAAAATGAAGTTTCAAATAAATTAATGTAATGACAACAATCCTCACATTAGAAATATAGTTTTACGCAAATATGAAATAATAGTATTCATTCAGAAATTATGAGATAAATTATAAACTAAGACTTAAGCATGGTATTTTGTAGGAATTCAAGTAACTGTTTGACTCTTGACATATTCGGTTAATAACATAATTTACAGAGGTTTTATATATAGATTCACTTGTAATTTATAGTTCTTGTTACTCTATTTAAACGTCATTGGATTGGGATCCATGAAACAATTAAGCTTAGTCAGGTAATAAATACGTTCTTAGTGTATGATGTAATGTAGTTATCCAAGATGTTTTGGTTAATCAGAAACATTTAGAAAAATTACTATCTATATTATCTCATTCTGACTGTCTGATGAACCATCACATAGGACATAGGAGATGAACACCACTTAAACTCGCTACTATACTGCATTCATTGGTAAAACCGGTATATCTTGAAGCAGCTTAAATTTTATTGTTATATCCGTCTAAGATAATTGTTTCAAACTGTTGGGGTGATCCAGAAAACCCGCAAAAGACAAGAAAGAGTCAGGAAAATACTAAGAAGCATTTTATCCAGTCAGCGTTAGAGTTTAGCCAGAAACATCAAGAAAGTGGAAAGTCACATGTAGCTCTTCTGGTTGGCTGATTACTGTACTGCTACTATATTTAGTAACATTCCAGAATTTCTGGGAAACCCAAGGACATCTAAAATACTACAAAAACCCTATATTCTCTGTACTAAAACGGAACTTTGGAGTAAAGTGCTGTTGCATATTTTATGCCTTTCCTCTCATGTTCAGGTCGCTGTGTAGTTCTAACTTGGGGTTTACGAGAATAGCCCAGGAACCGAATATAGCGTTCAGTTGGCAAGACTTATCACAAACCATTAGTGCTTCAGGAAGGTTAATTACTGCATTTATTGTGATAGGATTTTCATGTTTCTTACACGAATGCATCCTGTGAACAGACCACCAGTAAGCAAGTTAACAAGCATCTTTTTCGAATGCCGTCCATATATTTTAAATGCTTTTGTGCTCGCTTGTTTCAATACTGATAAGAAATTTACACGCGATAACTAAAACAAAAATGATAATGACAGAAAAGTTGCGTCAAATGAATTTGTAAGCCTTTCAGCCATTCATTGTAATTTTGTATGCTTACAAATACATAAATATTTTATGTAATGTATGAGAAACACGAGTTATGATGTAAGATTGGTCTGACTTATAATTTAGATGAATA